TGTGCTTATAGTTGGATCCGTAAGTGTGCATGGTGGAGTTTGCTTAAATTTTCCTAGAAGTGAAGAAACATGTGGGTGGAACAGTTAGCACCGTTTGAGCTTCGGACCTCCCGTTTGGAGCATGCCTGATTTTCCCCCTGCAGTTTTAAAGACATACACATCAGGGTGAGTGTAAAGAGGCTATATCGGTGCACCAGATGCAGACTGATCAGGTGTTGTACTTTTATATTATTTAACCCTTGTGCCACCATTTCATCTGCTGAGTTTCACAAAGGACTGCAGAAGAGATGTGTTTGCTCTATGGATGCTTACTAAAAAAACAAATTTGATAACCAGGGAGAAAAGTAGCTGAAAAAGGTGGAAAAACAGATAAAAAAAACATCCTCAATCACCCAGATTTGTGTTGTTAGGATTCAGGTGTGTGTTTGGTGCCTTGGTTGTTTGTTTCTCTGTTTTTGCTTTTTCCCCCATGACAGCAGGGACAGAGATGGGGCAAAAAAGCAGAGAGGTTACCCCTCACTTTTTGAAGTTTTCAAACTTATGGAGAAGGTGCTTCTCTGGTCTCAGCTCTTTATGGACAATTAAATGAAAAATGAAGGTCCTGCATGAGCTTAATTTAAAGATGTATTTTTGTGTAGACGAAGCAGAGGTTAACTTTTAACCTTATAAGCCTGCATGTTAATAAAAACTGCTTTAATACAAAAAAGTCAGGACTTAAAGTGAGCTTTAGATGGGTTTAATCCCCTTTACATCTCCATAACTTAAAGAACCTCAGTTAAACCTCATATCTCACATCCACCACATGGAAGACTGTTGACTCATGGCCATGTCCTTGTTCAGTCTTCACGAGAAATGTCTCTGGACGTATTTTAACAGTCTGGCGTGTTTTGGTCACGATAAGATGACAGGGGTGAGGCTCCGCGCGGTGGTATAGTGGGGAGGAAGGAGGGGGGCGGCAGTAGCCTAACGTCCATCGCTTTTCATTGTGTGTTTTATGTAATGGACCCAAGTTACCTCACGTACTGCAGTTATTTAGTTTTCTGCATGTTTGTCCGTCATGGGAGAAGAAGAAGGAGGAGAGAGGGGGGGTGGCGGCGAGCGAGGCTGGTCCGTATGGGAACTGGTTCAGATTAACTTTCTGCCAATCGGTGGAAACCCAACCAGGAAGAGCACGCACACATCGCACAGGCAGCGCCACCGAACGTCCCCTCTCTCTTCTCCCCGCTTCACTCCTACCCAGCTCTCCCAGTTACGGAGCTCTGCCATCGCACCAGTCCGACTCCGTCTCTCCTCCCCTCCCCAGCCCTCCCACACCCCCACCCGCTCGCTCTTCCCCGACTATCCGTCCGTTTGTCCGTCCTTCCCCGCAGATTTGTTCGACGGTTCCCGGCTCTGCTGGAGGAAGCGTGGCGGCGAGCCGTAAGTTACCACCTCGATCTTTTTTTTTCAAACACACATGTATTTTTTGGGGAGGGGGTGCTATCTGGCTGTGGATGTTTGAAGTTGTGTTCCGACTGCCCAGCCGTCCAGAGAAGGAGCGCAGAACCCTTTTTTTTTAATTATTTTTTTTTCGCTTCGTGCACCAGAAGCGACACACGGGGCTGCTGCTACGTGCCATAACCTCACAGCTCTCAGCTAGGACTGGGATCGGGAACAGCCACCGCGTCGCTGATCGGGAATCCGGTCAGAAAATGTGATCAGGAGGGGTGACTGCCCTTTATTTTTGCTTGGTGTGTGTGTTTGTGTGTTCTGGTAGCAACCCCCCCTCCACTCCCCTCCCTTCCTCAACCCGTATTTAGAGCCTGGCTGGCTACTTCAGATGGGCAGCTACGTCAGACTGTACTGTATCCCATCATACTGTATTCCACGGCCACTGTATATAAATTTATATATATATATATATATATATATTAACGCACTTATTACAAATCTATCCAGGCATGCATATCTAGCAATCCGCCCTCGACATCCCTGCCAATGGTGTTAAAGCTCCGACTGTCTCGGAAGAAAGCCAAAACAGTAACGCAATGTTTCAGATTCTCTCAGGCTTTTATCTCTTCTTGAAACAAACCCCCCCTCCCCCGTAAAAAAACCCCTCCATCATGTCAGCGCCTCGTGTTGAACCTGCCCGTCACCACCGGCCCCGACACGGAAAATGTAAAATAAGAAGCTCTCAGTCTGATCCGAGCAGCCACCTTACCCAGCTGGTTATTTATTTTTGATGGGTGCTCTGTGGGGTTTTGTGGCTCTGCCTAAAAGTTCAAGGCAAGAGCATTTTTTT